CACCCCCCCCCCCCCCCCCCAAAAATAATACATTCTCTATGAGGACAAAACTTTGATAAATTTAACACCAACGCTTTACAAATGCAGCAAATGTTAGAGTGTTTTTTTCCCTTTAAAGAATTAATGAGAAAGTTTATTTCCACAGTAATTTTTGGTGATTCGTTGAAATCTGAGAGAAAACAAATTTATATTACTATTATTTCCCCGTATTCGCCAAATCTGTCTCGGAGTTCCTGTGTGGTGATGTCTTTCTCTAGGTTGCCCACAAACAATGTGCGTGTGGCTTTTGGATGATACTCGTCCAGTTCAGCCTCTGGAGGTCGGAATTCATTGTCCTCTGTGTCCGCTGAAATGACAAAACATGTTCAATGATGAATTTTTAGAAAATAAATAGAACAACATGCACGTTAACTTCGGTGAATTTTTATCATCATTTGTCAAATGAGATATCTGACAACCAAAATATGTGAAATTTTTATTCTTGAATATTAGATATCCCAACTGTGTTTTTCACGAGTCAAACATATGCATTCCATATTTAGGATTTGCAATAAACACAGCACTCTTGTCAGATCTAACATATTAGCATATCCTCCAGAAAGGTCAATTCATACACAAGCTTTTCACACATTTTTCACATGTACAAAGAAGACCCGAACATTTCTAGATTCCACCAAGACTGGTTTTGAGATCCGTCAAGTACACAATATTTGGAAATAACTCCAATTTGCTCATTTCCTTGATATAGGCCATACCTTGTGCAAAAATACTGATAATGTAAGGTCAGCATAATCATCATCTGGCTAAACGAGTACATTTTTAATTCACCTTTTTTAATAAGACTTTGTCAGTGACCACGTTCTGCTTCCTTTCATTATTTAAGTGGCTTTTTAAAGATTTCAATCTGATGTGGAGACAAATATCATTGGGACCCATATTTTTATTTGAAATATTTATTTTGCGACTCAGAGATTTAATTTTCACAATTTACGAATTCTCACTTCCACAACCTAAAACAAGAGTTTAGATGAGTAAAAATAAATGAAACTTCAATAACTGAATTAGAAAGTTTAACAGCCTATCAAAATGTGATAATTACCAATGCCTTCATGTACTTGGACCTTGATTCTCGCCCCGAAGAATGTTTTGTCCAAGCTGGCTTCATATGCCTTCTCAGCATCTTCTGCCCTGTAGAATAGAACAAAGGTCATGCTTAATAGGTCAAATTAAAATACAATGTCCCATTTCCTCTAAACGTACCAATATACATTGATGCAGCACAATTGGAAAAATTTATCCAAATATATATCACAATATATTTCAACATTTCAGTTGGTCTCCTAGAACAGTTTTAATTAACATGAACAAGACTGCAATAGGGAGTTTTAAAACAGTGGCTTCTTATTAGAGGTTGTCTCAAGCAGGGATGACTGAAGAAAAATCATTGAGTTTGCAGCTTACTTTTTAAAGCTAACGATGGCATATCTATCATCATTGGACCCTGCCACCTGTACAGCGTTCACTTTCCCGTACTTCTTGTACTCATGGAAAAGACCATCTCTCAGACTTGTATCTGGAAAAGAACAAACAATAATCAATTACATTCTATATTAGTTTTAATCCATCAAATCATATTTTAATCTAGTTAATTTTTTATTTTTTTTCATGATTTTTTTCCCTCTAATGTTGCGATTTTGTTTGCATTTCAATTTAATAAATTTCTTCCTGGGACAGAACCACTAAAGTTTGATAACTGAAAATTAAAGCCTAATACGGTACCACCAAACTGTCAACGTACCGCTAGAGCGCAGTGGGAGGGCTGTGATACATATCCCATGGGGCCGTTTGTCGAGGGGGTCCCGCTCCGTTGACTTGTCACTGGCGGACGAGTCCTGGGACTCGGTGCGGTGGGATTTGGCCTGTGGAGGTATTATTGCCGCTGACGGTATTTGGTGGTGTCTTGGACTGCTGCGACCACTACTCCTACTGCTGAAATGTAGCCAAACAAATTGTACTCAACACAAGCTGTACTTTGCAACAGGGTTGTACTCAACACAAGCAATATAACACAGTGATGAATTCACAGACACAGGATTCATTTTTCTTTAAACGAATTGTAATGAAACCATCATATTACCTACCAGGGGTATATCCTGAAAAGTTGTTTGTACATGTATTTCAGAAACTCATTCATAAAAGAAAATTTTGCATCCCCGAATCACTGATAATTTTCTATTTATCAAACAATATTGAGATATATTTTTGATATTCTAACATCTAATGGAATTCAAACTTAAACTTGCGTTACTTGTAATTATTGGCCTGAATATATTAACTTTGATATTTACATAAAACCTTGACCTTTACTTGACCTTAGCATACCTGTGAGAATCGGAGCCTGAATCACTGCTGCCTGAGGACGACCTGCTGTAACTGCTACTCGAGCTAGAGTTTGACCTCGACCTTGAATTTGACCTTGAACTGCGTTGTTTGCGTGTGGAGCTGTGCCGACTAGAACGAGATGTGGAGTGTGTGGGAGAGGGCTGAGTTTTGGGACGATCAAACGCTGCATCTCGTGTCTCCATAGGGGAGTGGTCAAACGACCTATGACCTTCCATGTGGCGTGATCCAAACTGTCGCTGATTATGGTTTCCCCTAAAATGCGTAAAACAAATAAAATTTGATTAACTTCATTTTACGCTTTCGAAATTTCGTTCCAATACTTTGCAAATGAGCCATCTATGCGTAACAAAGTGTCTATCATAATACAACCTAATAACCTAAGCTATTGTGAAACTTGAATATACTTTTCTTTTATTTGCTTTCAATCATTAGAAGAAAATACATTTGTTTTCTGTTACTGTTTTTTTAAATTTTATTTTTGCTTCATGAAAACTTTGTAAAACAGAGTATTAGAGCTGTTAGACTAATCTGTGAAGACTTGAATTTCATTAATAAACAAAAGGATATCTCTTCTGTTAAAGCTTATAAATAATAAAACATATTTCAATCTTTTTGAAATCAAATATTTTGCCTAAAAAAAGACAAGAATTTTTCCAGATCTGGCCTCAAAAGCAAACACAACTTTTGAAAAAAAAGACATCGCTGTCAACTTTTAAACATACTTGAATCCCCCTCTGAAGAAGCGTTCTCTGGGACGACCACGTGTCTGGTTCTGGCCATTCTCGTTAAAGGGCGGTGGAAATCGGTTCTCAAACTGAGCAGGGTCTCTGGTGCCTGCTCCACTACTGTAGTAATCTCTGTTATCGTACGTCTCCCCCTCCTCTGCTCTGTAATGTAAGGACAAGACACTAAGGTGATGTCATTGTCAGCAATAATATACCTCCAATACTATCGGGGATCAATCCTATTCAATTCTACATCATTTATGTATTACTCTACTCTTATACAACTTCCTCCCCAGAATCGATACTACCACCCCTACCCTCTCGACATTTCCCACTTATTCCTCTCAGATATTATTGCTCTTCCNTCCCCCCCCCCCCCCTCCCCTTCCCTACATTTCTCACTTATTTGAGAGAAATATTATTGCTCTTCCTCAGATACTACCCCCCCTCCCCTTCCCGACATTTCTCACTTATTTGAGAGAAATATTATTGCTCT